TTTGGGGTGGAATGTTCTGAATATGTCTGTGAAGTCCATTTGGTCCAGTGTGTCATTTAAAGTCTTTATTTCCTTGTTGATCTTTTGCTTAGACCCTCACCTTTCACTAATACTGGAAATTATCCTTTTTTGTTGTTGCTATTGTTTTTTGCTTTGCTTCGTTTTTTTGTTTTTGGTTTTTGACAATCTAGTCAGTGAAAAGTAGAAAAGTGTTAACTCGTTAGATTCTAACTTTCATTTTCTCTATTATCAGTGATTCCAAACATGTTTCACTTTCTTTATTGGCCATGTGTATTTTCTTCTCTGTGAGGTGCTTGTTAATATTTTTTTAGTTTTCTTTTAAGTTGTTTTTCTATTGATTTGTAAGGGGTCTTAAAATATTAGGAACTTTAGAAAACCTACTGTCTCTTTATTTATGTCTCAATATTTCCCCCAGCCTATCACTTGCCTTTTAACTTTCTTTACGTTGTCTTTTGAAATACAGAAAGCTTTATTTATTTTTTTTGTAAGCCAACATATTGATTTTTTCTTTGTGGTTGTTTCTGCATTTTTGGATTTTGCTTAAGAAGTTCTGCCCTACCAAAAAATTAGTTATAAATGAATTTTTAGTTTTTTTTTCTAAATGCCTACTTCTTTAATCCACCAGGACTTTATTTTTTTAAATTTTCTTATTGTTATGTTAATCCCCATACATTACATCATTAGTTTTTGATGTAGTGTTCCATGATTCATTGTTTGTGCATAACACCCAGTGCTCCATGCAGAACGTGCCCTCTTTAATACCCATCACCAGGCTAACCCATCCTCCCACCCCCCTCCCCTCTAGAACCCTCAGTTTGTTTCCTGAGATTAAGAATTCCTCATATCAGTGAGGTCATATGATACGTGTCTTTCTCTGTTCGACTTATTTCGCTCAGCATAACACCCTCCAGTTCCATCCATGTCGTTGCAAATGGCAAGATCTCATTCCCTTTGATGGCTGCATAATATTCCATTGTATATATATACCACCTCTTCTTTATCCATTCATCTGTCGATGGACATCTTGGCTCTTTCCACAGTTTGGCTATTGTGGACATTGCTGCTATAAACATCGGGGTACAAGTACCCCTTTGGATCCCTACATTTGTATCTTTGGGGTAAATACCCAGTAGTGCAATTGCTGGATCATATGGTAGCTCTATTTTCAACTTTTTGAGGAACCTCCACACTGTTTTCCAGAGTGGCTGCACCAGCTTGCATTCCCACCAACAGTGTAGGATGGTTCCCCTTTCTCCGCATCCCCGCCAACATCTGTCGTTTCCTGACTTGTTAATTGTAGCCATTCTGACTGGTGTGAGGTGGTATCTCATTGAGGTTTTGATTTGGATTTCCCTGATGCCGAGCGATGTTGAGCACTTTTTCATGTGTCTGTTGGCCATCTGGATGTCTTCTTTGGAAAAATGTCTGTTCATGTCTTCTGCCCATTTCTTGATTGGATTCTTTGTTCTTTGGGTGTTGAGTTTGATAAGTTCTTTATAGATTTTGGATACTAGCCCTTTATCTGATATGTCATTTGCAAATATCTTCTCCCATTCTGTCGGTTGTCTTTTGGTTTTGTTGACTGTTTCCTTTGCTTTGCAAAAGCTTTTTATCTTGATGAAGTGCCAATAGTTCATTTTTGCCCTTGCTTCCCTTGCCTTTGGCGATGTTTCTAGGAAGAAGTTGCTGTGGCTGAGGTCGAAGAGGTTGCTGCCTGTGTTCTCCTTTAGGATTTTGATGGACTCCTGTCTCTTTCAACCATTTGGAGTCTATTTTTGTGTGTGGTGTAAGGAAATGGTCCAGTTTCATTCTTCTGCACGTAGCTACCCAATTTTCCCAACACCATTTGTTGAAGAGACTGTCTTTGTTCCATTGGACATTCTTTCCTGCTTTCACCAGGACTTTATTTTTGTGTATGGCATGGTGGCAGCTCTTCGGAAAATGCTGTTTCTGGTGGGACATTCTGAGATCCCCAGCCTTCCAGTTCCTTCCATCGGGAGAGTCCACAGGCTCCACCCACTGGGTTAATATCCCTCCAGCCCCTTCCTGCTGCTTCTCCCCTGTTCTGTTCCTCACTCATGGTGGCAGCATTCTCCCAGCTCCTAGGCTAGTAGTCATCCCTTCTCTCCCAACCCCCACAGGCTGTTCTGAGGACTCTTCTTCTAAGGGTCTTTGGCCCTCATCATCTCTTTCTCCACTGGAGCGGCAGTTCCTCCCAAGTCTGGGCTTGTTCTAATGCGTCCTCCAATTTTGCATCCAGAGTGATCAGAAAATACACATGGACAAAACCCAAAACTCTGGTCCTGTCACTTGCCTGCTTCAATGCCTCGTGACTTCCCATAGCACTTAGGATAAAGTTCTAACCTCTTAACCTGGTTTATGAAGTCTTGAGCCAGCCCACCCAGCCTTGATTAACTTAAGGGGTCTCAGCTTAGGCGCCACTCTGGGAACCCTCACCTGTCCCCCTCCGGCTGTGTTAAGGGCCCCTGCTCTAGGTACCACAGCCCTTGACCTCCCAGTATCACAGCACTTAAATCCCAGCGAGACTCCGAGCTTCTCCAGGAGAAGGATCAGAACTACATCCTGTGCACCGCCGTGTCCCCAGCGCCTGGCACCAGAGAGCGGAGCCGGCCGGCAGCTAGTACTCCGCTGTGGTTCGGTGGGGAGTACGGAGGCCAGAGAGGGGGATGCCCCCAGGGCCCGGCCGTCGAGTGCCCCGCTCCCGTCCTCCCCTAGGGCACGGGCGCCGGGCACCCCCCTCCTGTCCTCTCCCCCCACCCAGGTCCCGGCAGTCGAGCGCCCCGCTCCCATCCTCCCCCAGGGCTCGGCCGCCAGGCGGCCCCTCCCATCCCCCATCCAGGGCCCGGCCGCCGAGCGCCCAGCTCCTGTCCCCCCACAGGGCCTGGCCGCTGAGCGCCCCCCTCTCGTCCCCACTTGGTCCGCAGGGCAGACGGCACTGAACATCGCCATCGAGCGGCGGCAGGGAGACGTCACCGCCCTGCTCATCGCTGCCGGTGCGGACGTCAACGCCCATGCCAGGGGCTTCTTCTTCAACCCCAAGTACCTGCACGAAGGCTTCTACTTCGGTGGGTGCTGTGCACGCCCGGCACGGGCTCCCCGACCACCCGCGCCCGAGTCCGCGCTGGCGGGCCGGCCTGGAGCCCCCACTGCGGGTTCCTGCCCGCCGGATGCGCGGACCCGTGGACCTGTCTGGGGCCCAGCGGGACAGAACCGGGACCCGGGAGGCCACGGGGCAGAGCCTTCGGAACGGGGGCAAGCAGGCGTCCACTGGAGCAGCCCTGGATAGGGAACAGAGACCTGGGAGAGGGAGCAAGGAAAAAGCCCAATCTTAGAGGCCAGGAGACAGGTTCTGGGAGGGGAAATGATTTGCCCGGTGTAGTAAGGAGCGCCCAACTCCGCCTCTGCCCCTGGGCCCAGGGCTTTCCAGGACTGCAAACTCGGAGCCAGAAGTAAGAGAGGCAAATTCCCTCGCTGACGAGTTAGGGAGTTCCAAAGCAATCGGGGTTAGGATACTCTGGGTGGAAAAAAGATTGTAATGCCTATTTTAGATACAGTGAAATTCACCCATTTCCACGGACAGTTCTGTTCAGCCCCACAAATGCATCCAGTTATGTGACCACCACCATGAGGACAGGGTATAAATAGTTCCTTCACACTAGAAACTTTCCCCACACAACTTTGTCCACCCCTTTCCTATACCAGCTCTTGGCTGACAACCACTGACCTGTTTTCTCTTCTGGGTGGTTTTTGTTTGTTTGTTTGTTTTTTATCAGTAGGACTAGATGGGTCTGAGCAGACATGAGGACAGGGTCTTGTCCAGTCCACTGTCCAACATCAGACCCTGTTGGGGCCAGTGTTGGGAAATGTCTGTCAGGGGGGATGAAGAGAGGGAACAAGAGGGAGATTGGAAGGGAAAGAGTAGGAGACCTGCTGTCCAGTCCTGGTTCCATCCCAGGCTTGTTGTGTGACCACATATGAGTCACCTGCCTTCCCTTTTCTTAACAAACATTTATTGATCACTTACTATATACACCAGGCACTGTTCTAGGTGTTTGGAATATATTAGTCAACAAAACAAAGATCTCTACCCTCATGGAACTTACATTCTAGACTGGAGGAAAACCATCAATAATAAACATAATAAATAAGAACACTATGTAATATGTTAGAAAATGGAAGTGCCATGGAAAAAAATAAAAAATAAGACAGGGAAAGGGGGTCGGGAGTTCCAGGCCAGGAAGGAGGTGGATTTCAATTTTAAATAGTGTGGTTAGGGTGACTCATTGAAAAGGTGATGTTTGAGCAAAGACTTGGAGGAGGTGCGGGGATGTGCAATGCAGATATGGAGAAATAGCACTACAAGCAGAGGGAACAGCCTGTGCAAAGGCCCTGAGGTAGGAAAAATGCCTGGTATGTTCTAGGAAAAGGAAGACCATTATGGCCAGAGAGGGAGTGAGTTGGGTAAGAGAGGAGATGGCATCCAAACATGCAGGGCCTTGTGGGCTGTTGTTGGAACCCGAGCTTTTATTCTGGGGGAGGTGAAGCTTATGTGTTACTAGGATCAGTCTGACTGCTGTGCTGAGGATAGTGATGGAGGGCCAGGGTGGTAGTAGGGAGACCAGTTAGGTAAGCAATGATCCAGCTTTAGTCTCCCTGCTCTCCCCATCCAAGGGGGAAGATGGGGAGAAGTACAGGGAAGCTCGGGGGTCAGTCCTGCTGGGGACACTGGCTTCAGTCCTAGGGCTTGGGGAACACTGGGGAGGTCTATGAGAGAACTGAGCTCCAGTGCTCCCCCCTGCCCCAGGCGAGACACCACTGGCCCTGGCGGCATGTACCAACCAGCCTGAGATTGTGCAGCTGCTGATGGAGAATGAGCAGACAGATATCACCTCGCAGGACTCACGGGGAAACAACATCCTACACGCGCTGGTGACGGTGGCTGAGGACTTCAAGACACAGAATGACTTTGTGAAGCGCATGTACGACATGATCCTGCTGAGGAGCGGAACCTGGGAGCTGGAGACCATGCACAACAACGACGGTCTCACGCCGCTGCAGCTGGCCGCCAAGATGGGCAAGGCCGAGGTGGGGCCTCAGGGGTGGGAAGCAGGGCAGGGGGGCTCTCTGCCAGCTCTTGGGCCTTTCTGGGGACCCCACAGATTACACCTTGGCCGGGGAAAGGTCAGCCTTCCGTCTGGAAGTGCGTTTGTGGCCTGGGGTGGGTTTGTTCTGAGTGACCGCACAGAGATGCGGCACGTGGGAACCCCCTCTGGACTTCAGTCCCTAACACTCCATGTGTCTCTGCCCTGCTCTGGAGCTCCCATCTGGGGTCGGAGTGGGGGACCTTGAAGGCCATGGTGACACAGTACCTCACGGGCTTCGTGGCTGAGGCTTCCCGTGTGGTGAGGCACCCAGGCGGAGGCTGCGTCTGACCCTCTCATGAAGACAGGAGTCCCAGAATGGCTGCTCTGGCTCCAGAGCCAATGGGCTGCCTGCATCTGGAGAGACCACTGTCTGTCGTGCTGAAACGCTGAGCCACGTCCTCAGCAGAGAGTATGGCTGCTGGTGGCCCTTTGCAGCCTGTGTGGAGTGGCTGAGGAGCTCAGGGCTTAACCTTGGTGAAGACTTGGGCTGGGGTGGGCTCCCACTTCTGTTGGTGCCTGGAGTCACAACTTGGTCTAAGATCAAGGTCAGGACTCAGGTGGGCCCGAGGGCAAGGCTCAGAGAAGCTTGCTCTTCAGCCTCCATGTGTCCAAGCCCTGGGAGGGGACTGAGGCTCCTGGGAGGCTGTGGAGGACTGGCTGGGTGCAGTCACAGCTGTGCGGCTGACAGGGGAGGCGGGTGCCTCGAGGGCCTTGGGTCCAGTCCCAGTGGTCAGGGCTGGGGCCCACAAAGGACCTTTTCATTCTCTTGTGGGGGAAGGAAGGGTTGGAGATTGGCTTTGACAGAGGAGGAATTGTGTGCCTTCCCACCATCCCCACCGTCTCCTACCCGCCCCCGGGAACAGTTTGTGGGGGGCTTTGAGGAGAGTCAGATTAGGAGGGTTGTGAGGGGAGCTTCCCGCAAGCCACTGTGGCATGTGTTCTGCCTGCGTGGACCATGGCCCCATGACCCTTTGATTTTCTAGAGGATGATGTGCTCCCCCATGGCCAGTCTTGGGGAGGGGACTCCCCCATTCCTGGCCCTTTCTCTTCTTCATTCAGTGTTGTTTGGAAAATCTTTCTGGATGCTGCCCAGGTTGACCACTGTGCTGGGAGTGGAGGGTGCAGAGATGCTTACGACACAGACCCTGTTCCTTGGGGCTCTTTGAGGCTGGGGCTCAGGACGGGGAGACTGGTCCTGTGTCTGGAGTTTCTCTGCCTGGACTGTGAGGACAAGGCTCCCACATGAGATGAGATGGGAACCCCACTGGGTTGTGTGAGATCAGGGCTCTGACACTGTTCTCCCCACCGGGACCCTCTTCCTGGGCCTTGGGTTGGTGCCCCAGGAAGCCCTGGCCCCAGTTTTGGAAAGCGGTGAGCTGGAGAGTGGTTGCTCTCCACCTCGCCTGTGCTTCGGCACCGCCCACGGAGCTTTACAAAATACAGATGTCTGGGTCCCACCTGCAGAGATTTGGACAGAATTCGTCGGTGGTGTGGGATTGTCGAGTGTTCTCAGTGACTCTGCCGTGCAGCAGAGTTTGAGGATCACCTGGAGAGTGCGTTTCTCAGGCCTCTCTGCTAGGCTGGCATCTTGTATCACCCTGTCTGGCCCACAGTGAATCTCAACTGGAATGGTCTTGACCGAGGGTGGGATAGGAAAGCTGGGAAAACTTCTAGTTTCTTCTCCCATCCGGGCCAAACAGAAATTATTTCTCAAAATTGTCAGTTCCCAGATGCTTCACTGAGTGGGGTCCCCAACTGGTACAAGGATTTATGAACTGATTGTGCAGCTTTCTGCATCCTGCAAAGGGCCTCCACACCTTTTGTCCCTTGTATTCTCAGTCCCTGGTGAATTGGGCAGAGCCCCGAGGTTCACACCCATTCTGCAGATGAAGCCCAGCCCAGGGGTCACGATGGCAGGGGCAGAGGTGGAACTCGATCTGTCCAGGTGGAAGCATCTTCCCAGCCCAGTTGTACAGCTGTTCCTCTTTCTGTCCCCAGATCTTGAAGTATATCCTCAGTCGTGAGATCAAGGAGAAGCCCCTCCGGAGCCTGTCCAGGAAGTTCACCGATTGGGCATACGGTCCTGTGTCGTCATCACTCTACGACCTCACCGACGTGGACACTATGACAGACAACTCGGTGCTGGAAATCATTGTCTACAACACCAACATTGATGTGGGTCTCTCGGGAGGGCTGGAGAAGGGCGGGGGATGAGGGGCGGGGCCTCAGGCTGCACTGGGAAGACCCATGCCACTAGCTGGACGTGTCTGTAGTCCCCCAACTCCTTTGCCTCCGTGGGCAGAGTCAACAGAAAGGGCAGGGCTAGGGCAGGCACCGTGTTTACCTGCTCCCAGCTGACCTTGCGCTATAAACCTCTGTGGTGGGTGTCTCCTGGCCCCAGAGTCCTGGGCAGTGTGAGAGTGGGGATGGGATGATTGCTGTTGATCTTCTCCATCTTGTTTCTCCCTCTCTTCCCTAATGGTTCTATAATCTCCCCTTCCCCTCAGAGAAGGCACAGCTGGAGCAATCAGGGAGGCCTTCCTGGAGGAGGCGGGGGTGGGGGTGGGGAAGATCAGTGAAGCTGGAGGGGAAGAGAGAGCATCAGCAGTGAGAGGTTTTCAGCTTTTAGGGGGGGAGTGAGGCAGCAGATTGGAACTTCATCCTCCACATGTTACCAAGAGTCATGTTTACCACAGCCTGCCTTGTCTGGGGTCTCCCTGAAGCCTCACGGCAGCCTGGTTGATAGGGCAGTTTGGTTGATATTAGTTTTGTGGATGAGGAAACTGAGGCCCTGGGAGTGTCAGGGGTTTCCCTAAGGTTACACAGTGAAGGGGCCAAGTTGGGGCCAGTCACGGCCCTTCCCCCTTGCAGCCCTTGCTCCCCACTGAGCAGCAGGTCCTCCCACTGGAAGCCCAGCTCCTGTGGGGTTTGGCTGCTGCCTGGGGGCACTGGGAAGGAGCCTCAGGAGCCAGAAATTACCTTCCCAACATTTCCAGCCACACCGGTCCATGGGACAGAATGACTGGCCCCTTCTGCCATGGGTGGGGCGGACTCAGAGCTCCCTTTGGAATGAGGGCCCTTTAAAAATGGTGGTGGTGTTCTACGCCCAGAACCGGCATGAGATGCTGACCCTGGAGCCCCTGCACACACTGCTGCATATGAAGTGGAAGAAGTTTGCCAAGTACATGTTCTTCTTGTCCTTCTGCTTTTATTTCTTCTACAACATCATCCTGACTCTGGTCTCCTACTACCGCCCCCGGGAAGAGGAGGTATGTGGGCCCCCGGAGGGAGGCAGGTGGGGTGGTCAGAGCTCCAGGAGCTTGGAGCAGTCCCATGTGCAGGTGAGGAAACTGAGGCCTAGAATGTCTTGGTCAAGACATTCGCATGGCGTTCCCCGGCAGTCATCCTTCACAGCTTCTAGGGAATTGGATATGTCTCTAGTGCTTAGCTATTGTGGGGAGATCTGGAAGGTTGGGAGACGCAGGCCCTGCCCAGGCTCCACCTAAGTCTAAAGAGCTAATTGGGGTGTTTCTGCTGTGAGGGCCACAGGAAATGGGCGGGGAGGTCCTCCCACTCTGGGCCTCAAGTTTCCCATTCATTACACAGGGCACAGAGTTTCAGCTTTGAGTGTCCTGTAAGTGTCTGGGTATGAATGGGTTCTGGAATGAACAAATGCCATGAGGTGTGAGGGGTTGTTAGCATGGACTGGACTGTGTCCCTCACTATAGAGTTCTGGGTGCCACTGTGGGTGGGGACAGGGGCAGGAAGCTGCCATTCTTTCTCTCACATTGTACAGAGCCTGAGCTTTGTGCTGGCCTCTGGCTCAAGCAGAGGCTTTGGCATGTGTTTGTGCATCCTACCCCCAGAGCTGCCATTACCCCTTGCCTTCCTCACTCCCCATCTTGCACCCATCCTTTCCTTCCCTTCTTCCCAGGCCCTCCCACACCCGTTGGCCTTGACGCACAAGATGGGGTGGCTGCAACTGTTAGGAAGGATGTTCGTGCTCATCTGGGCCCTGTGCATCTCTGTGAAGGAGGTGAGTGGGCCACTAGGCCCTCTGGACTTGCCTGCGGGGGGCAGGCAGGGGGGCAGCAGGCCTGGCTTTGATCCGCCCTGCTCTGCCTTACCACGGGGAGGCACTTCCTTTCTAAGCTTTCCATTTCTTAGTTACAAAAGGAGAGTAAATAAATCAGTAGGCCTGTCCCGCCTACTTAATCTATCTGCCCCTCCATCCCTCTGTCTGTCTGTCAGCCATTTATATGCCCTCCCAGCCACTCAGTGACACATCTTCCTGTCCCTCCATCCACACATTCAGTCACTTCTCTCATTGACCCAGCCATTCATCTGGGTTTATCAATCAATCCCTTATCGACCCATCCATCAACCAATGAATCACCTTTTTATGTGGAGCCCTGGGAGAGGTGAGAGGGAGGGAGGGAGTTTGTCCTCTTTAAACTCGCAGCCTTGCAGGGGGTTTCAGACAGGCACAAACACCTGGACTCTAAAAGAGACTATGGAAAGGGCCCTGTGTGGGGTTCAGACCAGTGCTCAGAGGAAGAGAGATGACTCCTATATGGGGACAAGAGGGGGGGAAAGCTTGGAAGCAGAAATGACATTTAGTCTGTGAGGGTGGGATTTGGCACGAGGACATTCGAGAGGAGGTCATGACAGGGTGGGCAGGGGGAACAGCTTAAAAAAAGGCTCAGAGGCAGGAGAGCTAAGCCATATCATTTTTTGTCTTTTTTTTAATTAAAATTTTAATTTTAATTCCAATATAGTTAACATACAACGTTATATTCGTTTTAGGTATACAGTATAGTGATTCAGCAGTTCTATACATGACTCAGTGCTCATCACAACAAGTGTGCTCCTTAATCCCCTTCACCTATTTCCCCGATCCCTGCACCCGCCTCCCCTCTGTAACCATCAGTTGTTCTCCATAGTTAAGTGCCTGTTTCTTGCTTTGACTCTGTTTTTTCTCTTTGCTCATTTGTTTTGTTTCTTAAATTCCACATGTAAGTGAAATCATATGGTATTTGTCTCTCTCTGACTGACTTATTTCACTTAGCATAATACTCTCCAACTTAACCCATGTCGTTGAAAATGCCAAGATTTTATTCTTTTTTATGGCTGAGTAGTATTCCATTGTATATATATCCCATCTTCCTTATCCATTCATCTATCAAGGGACACTGGGGCTGCTTCCCTATCTTGGCTATTGTAGATAATGCTGCAGTAAACATAGGGGTGCATGTATCTCTTTGATTTAGTGTTTTTGTATTGTTTGGGTAAATACCCAGTAGTGCAGTTACTGGATCGTAGGGTAATTCTGTTTTTAACTTTCTGAGGAAGCTCCATACTGTTTTCCAGAGTGGCTGCACCAGTTTGCATTCCCACCAACAGTGCACGAGGATTCCTTTTTCGCCACATCCTCACCAACACCTGTCGTTTCTTGTTTTTGGCTTTAGAAGTGAGGCTGTATTTGGGGAATGGCAGGGGATGGTGTGACTGTGCTGTTTTGAGGGTCCAGGTGAGGATGAGGGGGAGAGTGAGCGAGGTGAGAAGATTTGGGGGTGCAGCCACTTCTACCCTGGATTGCCTCTACTCCCAGGCTCAGGTCTCCTTCCACATCCCTCACCTGGGCTCTGGCTTGGCCTTCCCACCCTCCCCTCCCCCCCGCACTGAGTCTCAGACCTGAGGAAACACCACCTTCCTCAGATCTTCCGGTGAGAGGCATGAAGAGGGTGCAGATTTTCTTTCCTTTTTGGCCTCAGGGCATCGCGATCTTCCTGCTGAGACCCTCGGATCTGCAGTCCATTCTCTCTGATGCCTGGTTTCACTTTGTCTTGTAAGTAGGTCTGTCCCATTTGGTCCCCACTGCACAGGCAGGGCCGAAGTCCTGTATGGCGGCTGCTGTGTCCTCTGAAACAAGCATCCTCCCATGTCACCATGTCCCAGCTGTCCTGCCATAGTCTCATGGCCAGGGACCTCCTCTCTCCCTTCTAGTAAGAGAAGCCCATGGATGCCTATGGAGAGGACCAGAGGACCCCAGCACAGTGCCCACCGTCAGGTTGCGGTGATGACTGTCTCCACCCTGTCACAGAGCCCTGCGTGGTGGGTGTGGCCGAGAAGGCAGGACGAGGCTTAGTAGTGCTGTCTACTTCTCTAGGAAGGGGTAGTCCGGGCCCGTTCCTCCTAGTTGTGTGGGGTCTAGAGGTTGCCATCTTGGACTCTGGCGGAGCAGGGCTGGAGAGCACTAGGAAATCATCGAGTCTCATCCGCAGGCATGAAACCCGAAGCCCAGAGCCGGGAAATGAGTGACTCACAGTCTGGCAGAGCGTCAGCGGTGTCAAAGCCAGCCCCAGCCTCCCAGTCATCTTCACCCTATGTTAGGGCACGGTTGCCTACCCCGGAGCCCTGGCCAGAAAGCCCGGCTCAGCAGCCTCTCTGAATGAGGTCATGGGCAGCTGACATCAGAGGCTTATGTGACGCCTGTCCCTAAATGAACAGAGGTTGATTCAGCATTGCTGCCACGTGAATGGAACAGGACTTGCGGTGTGGAATGAAGGAGGTTGGGCTCCAGAGCTCTGTCGATCCCACCAAAGTCCCTCTTCGGAGCATTTGGGAAGCTGGGTCTATAGGACCTGAAATCTTGGCCCAATGTTTCCAAATACCTTGGTGTTTTATTAAGTATGTACCTGCCTTCTAGAGGCATGAACGGAATTCTTCATCCCTGTGGGCAAGTGGGGTGCCCAGATACTGTAGTGAGTAGATGAACCCCATGATATCAGCCACCTGGGAGTCTCCGCCTTTGAGAAAATATGGTAATTCCAGAGACGAATTCATTTATCCGGCTGCTGGCTTTCGTGCAGACAAAAGGCACTGGTGCATTGTCCTGCTTTTCTGCTTCTTCAGTGTTTTGTTAATGGTGAGGAAGGTGAACACACGCTTCCTCACTTCAGTCCAAAAAATGCACCGATCACCCAAATATTTGCTTTTCACTGCACAAGAAAAGCAAGCTTGCCTGTGTCCTCACTTTAACGAGTTAGATATTTCATAATCACGGAGACTGTGTGATGTTACAAGCAATAGAGCTTTTTGTCTAGAGGTCTGCATCACTGATGGTGTAGTAGCGCTGTTTCGGAGTAGATTTTGAGCCTGGGTGTTTGTTATACGTGGTACTTTAAAAATTTTAATGGTGGTAGAATCTATATAACATAAAAGTTGCCATCTTAACCACTTTAAGTGTACAGTTCAATAGTGTTAGGTACATTCATATTGTTATGCAACCAATCTGTTTAAGCTATCTATCATTTGGCATATACTATAGTTGTTAAAAAGATTTTAAAAAGTCGGTTGTGGGGACTTTTGTTATGACTCGCTTTTAAGTACAGGCATTGTTAGCTTTTGTCATTTTTGTTGAAAAAACAATCATTTACTTATCTGCCTTAGTCTACACCAGTGGTTCCCTGACCTATGTGGAGATATGGGCTTCTGAACCCGAATCTCCTTGAGTCCTAGGGATCTGTATTTTTAAGAAGTCCCCACCAGCTGCTGCCAGCCCACTGCTGGCTCTGACTCACGTCTGATGACGCCGTCTGCAAGGCTGGATGTCAGACATTGTTGAGAGGGTCTGGGGCAGCCTCACCTGTCTCTTCAGCATGACCCATCAGGGTGCCGCTTCGGGGCTTGAAGGGAGGCTGGGGTTTGAGGATCTACCCTGACGCTGAGGAGAAGTAAGTAAGGCCCTTGTCTCCTGTGTCTCCTGAACAGTTTTGTCCAAGCTGTGCTTGTGATACTGTCTGTCTTCTTGTACTTGTTTGCCTACAAAGAGTACCTCGCCTGCCTTGTGCTGGCCATGGCCCTGGGCTGGGCAAACATGCTCTACTACACGCGGGGATTCCAGTCCATGGGCATGTACAGCGTCATGATCCAGAAGGTGCGTTGGAGGCTTGGGAGCATCACAGACATGCAGGCTCAGCCCTGGGGGAGCCCTCAGGGAATGTCCATTTTTCAGAGGGAGAAACAGGTCTGGACAGCAAAAGGGGCTTGTCCCTCGGGCAAGCCTCTGCTCTTTCTACCAGACACCACCGTCTCCCTTTGCTTCTGGCCAGGCTTTAAGTGTCCAGGCCTTAAAACAGCTGGGCTTGTTGGGCACTGGGAAGGAATGGTCTCACCCCCAGGCAGTGGTGTGCTGGTAAATATTTAACAACCAGCTCTCTGGGGGAAAATGCACGGACACACGCACAGACACACGGATACTACATTTACGATACATTTTTACCATAGAAAGGATGAGTAATACGTAATTTACAAATAATGAACTATATAATGCTCTTTGTTGTAAATTCCACATAGCTAGTTGAGTCTGGCAGAATGATTTGTTGATTTTTCTTGAATTCCTATATCTGTTGCCAATCTGTGGGTGCAAGTGACAGAGAGTGTTGTTGCAACATCGATATCGGTTGATGTTTTCTTTAAGGAGTAAGATGGAAGTGAAACAGTGCCGCCTTATGGGAGAACTTCCCTTGCTTGTCAGCGATGTGAGCCACTTATTTGCTGACTTGGATAATAGTTTTACAAAATTTGGAAGACTCTTTCATTAATGTTACTGTGTTATTCACAACACCTCGGCTACAGATAGGACACATACTAAAGTTGAATCTGCCTTAACATTGTCTCCATCGCTGTCTTAAATCTAGATCTAGACAATCAGCAAAATAATGAGTCTGTGATTTGTCCCATTTACCAATTTCCATGGTGTAAATCCTACCACGGCTGATTTCCAGCTACTGGTGTGACGGAGTTGAACACAGAGTCAGGAAGAGACGTGGTAACTCATGGTACAGTATGTGTACCACGTGGCTGCCAGCGATGAAATAACCTTAATAGCATACGTAATTGTAAAATGAGCGATGAGCTTTGAATATTTATTATCTTTGCTTTTAATATAATGTACTTAATTATAAGTTTATGTGATTTAGTTTTTAATAATGGTTCTGTTTAACAGCCACCTTACAAAATTCATGAAAACGTAACCGTCAGCTCTTAGGAGCGGCGTCAGCAGCCTCCAGCACACCACTGCCCCCAGGGAGTGTGAGGATTTCCGACGTGAGACACTATGAGGAAAGGGGCTCACGTACAGGGTGGATCATCAGGAACAGAGACAGGCTGTGTGCCAGGAGGGAGGCGAGCAGGAACGGAAGGGAAGGCTGCTTGGAGGAGATGGGGCCCAGAGCTGAGCTTTGGAGCATCAGAAGGATTTGCTAGGGGAAGGGAGAATGGTCTGAGGGAAGGCATGGTTGGGGCTGGGGCTGGGTGAGGGTGGGAAGCAGTAAGGAGATCAGGGTCTAGCGAACATGTGCTCAAATCTTACCCTTGAATCATGTTTCTCCCTTTATAGGTCATTTTGCATGATGTCCTGAAGTTCTTGTTTGTATATATCGTGTTCCTACTTGGATTTGGAGTAGGTAATTGATTTATAAATAATAGGGACTCCCACGTTTGTAAAGCATCTTATACAGATGTCAAAATGACAGAGCACGCAGCAGCCTCAGCCAGTTATGTCCCCTACTAGGGGGCACTTGCCATGCTTAGCGTTTTCCAAGCATTGTCTTTTTACTTCTCTCAGTATCTCGACCAAGGGGAAGTCATCATCCCCGATCATAAGGTAACTGAGGCTTAGAACCAGACCTGTCACCCTTGTCCCGTGGGGTATGCCTCCCACATTCACATCCAGCATCTTACATGGCCCTCACCACCTCAGAGAGGCTTGGCAGGCGGTTTTGGCCCCATTTTACAGATAGGGAAACTAAAGTTTGCAGAAATGTGACTGATGGTCTTTAAAAAATAAGACTAAATTAATGCATCAAGGTAAGCTCCTTTGATTCCCCACATCATGTTACTTGCAGTTTGCTTCAGATATATCTGTGAGGGCCTCTGCTCTCCTGGGGACTGAGGATGGGGAGGCCCCTCCTAAAGTCTCTTCCTTTGTACAACCTGATTTTATTTCTAGCTTCTGCATAGAGAGGTATCATTGTATATTCCCATGCCAGCTCTCCATCCCCCCATGCCCCACCCCCCGCCGCCCCGTGATCATTGGCATTTGAAATTAGGCAGCCATTCCCATCTTCCGGTGTCTTCGCTGGGCCACAGTGTGCTTATTTATTTGCTCCTTCACTTGCCTGTTTATTCATCCATCCATTTACTCACTCATTAATTTGACCATTCATCCATTCGCCTGTCTACACATTTAGCAATGAGCCACTGCTATGGTGTGTTGGAAGGGAGAGAAGAAAGAGGCCCAGGTCTAGGCCAGGGGATCTCCCCACAGAGCATGAGGAAGAAACTCAGGACCTTACAGTCTTGGAGGAGATGGCCCAGGCTACAGGAAGTTGGGAGCCCAAAGCCTGGTTGGGGAGCCAGGGGATGCACATAGATTATACTTAGCAACTCTGCAAGGCTGTGAGTGATCAAGGGCTGAATGGCAGGGTTGAGGAGGGAGAAAAGAGTGTGGGCTTTATTAGGCAGGAAGCGCTTTTTGCAGGAGGTCAAGGCAGAGAACCAGCCTGATGAGGCTTCCAGGGGCTGAGGCTGGAGGTGAAATCTAAATGACCAGAGAAGATGAGGCAGTAGGCCTGCAGTGTGTGTGTGTGGTGGGGGGGGCATGTGTGTACGTGCAAGTATGCGTGAGCTTGTTGGGTAATTAACCAGGCAGAGCGCCAGAGGAGAACACCCTATTCTGTCCTCCCAGCCCTGGCCTCGTTGATCGAGAAGTGTCCCAGTGACAACAAGGACTGCAGCTCCTATGGCAGCTTCAGTGAGGCGGTGCTGGAGCTCTTTAAGCTCACCATCGGCCTGGGCGACCTGAACATACAGCAGAACTCCAAGTACCCCATCCTCTTTCTGTTCCTGCTCATCACCTACGTCATCCTCACCTTCGTCCTCCTGCTCAACATGCTCATTGCCCTGATGGGAGAAACCGTGGAGAATGTCTCCAAGGAGAGTGAGCACATCTGGCGTCTACAGGTGAGCCTGGCAGGGACCCTGGTATGGGGGTCTTCACGGGGACTCAGTTCAGCACGTTGTACTGACAACCGTCTGTCCCGGCGGACCTGGGTGGGGCCTGGGAATCTGCATCAGCTCCCTGTGGTTGGCCAGGTTTGGGGAAGTCTTAGTCTAGGTTCCTTGGGTATAGGGTCGAGGCAGTGTGACTGGACAGCTGCACAGGTGGGACGAACTCAGGCTTATGGGCATGATCTGCTCAGACTCTGGTGTGAGGTGTGGATGTTGAACCATGACCTTCAGTTGCATTAAGAGGAGGATAGGGCATAGGACAATGGAGGTGACAAGTCTGCACGCCTCAATCCTGGCTGCAACATTCCTTCCCCGCTGGGGGCCTTACGCACAAGGACATTAACCCACAGGATGGTCCAGAGTGGGTTGCCAGGCTGGAAACTGTGCCTCACAAGAAACGGTATTGGGACTAGGGTTGAAGAAGGTGAGGGTTTTGTCAGATATCTGCGGAGCTACTTGTGAAGGGACAGCTTCCTTCTGTGACCCCAGAAGGCAGAACTGAGGTATATGGGCAATGACAGGGAGGAAAGCTTTGCTTTGACACAAGGAAGTTTCTAATTATATTAGGGTCTTCTTCATTGGATTGTTGAATACATTCAGGAGAGATTTGACAAATTATTGACAGTTAAACTGCTGAGGGGATTCCAAGCCTGGCATGCAGGTGGGATTGCATGATGTCCGCCCCTCTCTTCCCCATGGGATACCAGGATCCTAACATTTTCAGTTAGGAAGCTCCTGCACTTCCAGAAACAGTGTTTATGTTGTGTTTCAAGCAATTTGAACACCTTTCCCGAGCTTGGTGGTTTTCATTTTTGAATTCTGTAGATCAGCTGAACCCTCGGGTCTGTGCATTAAGCACCCGGTGCAGTGGAGCTGGGTCTTTGGGGGTGTGTGCATGTACTTGTGTGCGTGTGTGTGTGTGTGTGTGTGTGTTGGGGGGGTGCACACTCATACAGAGCTGTGTTCCTGGGCCGGCTCCTCATTGATGTGCTTAGGCTCATTTATGTCCCCAGAGAGCCAGGACGATTTTGGAGTTTGAGAAGATGTTACCAGAATGGCTGAGGAGCAGATTCCGGATGGGAGAGCTGTGTAAAGTAGCAGAGGAAGACTTCCGGCTGTGTTTGCGGTAACAAAGGGAGAGGGGCCCCTTGGTGGTGGTTTTGGGGGGCGAAAGAGAGATGAGTCAGTGACTGTCAGAGAAACGGTGCTGCCGCTTGCTTCCCAAACCACAGCCACAGTCGGTTCTGGCCTCCTCAGAACATGGAATTTCCTCCGCCGGGGTCACTAGCCCTGGGACGAGGCTTCACCAGCTTCTGAAGGGAGACGGAAGGAGGCCGCTGGGGACAGTCGTTCCCCCCCACCCCCACCCCGTGCAGCAGCCTCCGTGACCTCTCCCTGTCCACTGTCTGGTTCAGGAAAGATTCGCCGACTGGGCAGTCCTTCTCTCTGGCCTGCATGGGTTCATGGGACACCAGGGGACCTGAGGCATGCCTGTCACGGGCGAATGGAGAGTGAGACAGCTACTTTGGACAGATATCAAGCTTTTTGGTTTTTAAAAAGTACTTGCATGTGCCATGACCAACTTTGCTGATGATGAGTCTACTTCATCCTCCCCCCGTCTGACTGCCTGACCTTACAGACTGCCCTCTGTATAACCTCACCGCGCCCAGCTTCTCTGAGACTCCCGTGCCGTGGAAACCACCATTTCCAGCTCTATAACCCTTATCCTAACAAATATCTCTAATGTTCACACCCTCATTCTAGAGATGTTCCCTGAACGTGAACTTCAGCCAAACCATTGCTTCCAGTTGCAATCTAGCACCTTAGACTCTGCCCACTCTTTAAAGATTTTATTTATTTATTTGAGAGAGAGAGAATGAGAGAGAGAGCACATGAGAGGGGGGAGGGTCAGAGGGAGAAGCAGACTCCCCGCCGAGCAGGGAGCCCGATGTGGGACTCG